ATTACAAAATTATGCTTGCTTACTTACATGAACAAAAATGTGTTTAACAGGGTATCGAACGAATATGGATAGATAACAGGGCGTGAAGGGAAAACATAATTCTCACTCTTTGGTAATTCATATTGGCATTTTTGCGCATGAAAAGTATTTGTATCTATTTTCGAGGAACTTTTGATGTATTTTATTACATCTAGGAAAATTCTGTTATCGTAGCTTGATAACAAAGGACGTGCGATTGGATCGTAAAATATTAATGCACAAGAATACGATGAAATTTACTGTTATTTCTATAGAATTTTATTAACACTGTTACTTCAGTAGTATTAATTACAGATACCAATTTGCAATGTTCGGTATTAACAAAAGAGAGAAATGTTAAAAAAAAGAAAGGAAAGAAACAAGATTACGAGTACATGTACAATTTCGATTTTAGAAAAAATATGACAATGAGCGGCTGCATTATTTAAATGCAATACAATTTCTACCGTTTTAACGAACGCGTGTGACAATTGATTACTTAAACAGAAGGATAACGACGATATTTCCGGTGGGAAATGATTTATCGCGAGGTTCGACGATAAAACAAGCTGGATTGAATAATGTGGGCTTACATGTACGATTTACATAATAATTGTACATTATTTAAATGTCGCAAGGATTGATAATTTCGAATATTTCGCAATGCAGTACGCTCAAGTCAAGTGCGATGGAAGTATAAAACTCTAAAACAACCCTAATCGGGTGTCCAGCTGTGTTTCGTACTACGCATTGTATACAATCTCATAAGAAATAACGTTATTTCGTCTGGTATTATATCTTTACACGCTAAATAAAACAATGATTTAGATATTTGCTTCAAGACAAACGATACTCGTCTTTCTTCTCTTTCTTCTCTTTCCTGTGCTAATAATTTTGTAATGAGCTACATGTGTGATTTACTTATCAAACAACTAATCAACTAATTCGTTTTGTGCAGCAGTCACTTGGTGATACATATGACACTAACGATCGGTTCAAGGGATCTCGTAATCTCTATCATTGTTATCTCCTCCCTCCCATCTCTTTAACCCATCTTCTCCCATAAGTACATTAGGTACGACCGAACAGAACATCGAGTATATTATTTCTAATACTTCACTTACACGCTATTATGTACAGTTATGAATACCGCACCGTGATTCGCGTGATACCCAAAAAAGTACCATTGAGTACCATTCTACCGGCACGATGCAATTATGAAAGACGAAAGTGCTGTTCAAAACCGGTCGATTGCTTTACGCGTATTGAGAGACAGAGTAGGGTAATAAAAAAATAGTAAAAGAAATGAGCGAGAGAAAGAGAGAAAGAGAGAAACACACGACGGGAAACGAGAAAGAAAGTAGAAGAAGGAGGGGACACGTATGTGTTTGACATATGCTGTACAAAAGTTATTTTTCATCCAGTTTCATAAATGACTAATTGCATTTTTCGTCGAGCGCTTGATTATACTACGTTGTCTTTACTGAGTTTCCTATAAAATCGCTCTTCGAAATATCTGCCGTCTATAAAACTGGACATTTGTCAAACAATGGTATAAATTTTTGTTCACAAGTTACGAAATAGATATTAGAATTGCGATCGATACAAATTTAACAGCGGCTACGTGAAAGCCAATGGAAGAGTAGCATCGGACTCCCTATTTCGGTACTATTATGCACCATATCCTAAATGATTAATTCTAGAGAAAAGTGAATATAGAGTTTAGTTATAGTCGAGGAAAGTTTGAAATGACAATGTGCGAAATAATTAACAAAAGTAAAATATAAAGATAACGCTATAGGTAATGATAATTGAAAATACCAAAATTACAGACAAAGTAAGGAAAATTCTTAATTATTTTTCGATAGCGACCGATTACATCTTATTCGAATTATATTTTAACAACCTTATATTCACTTTCCATTCGTTCATACCATCACAATTATACATACATTTAATTTCAGCTTATACTTGTAGTTTGAAGATGTTCATAGCTTAATTTATTATTTTAAAAACAACAAGGACGGGTAAAAATGTTCAAGATAAAGCAAAATTAAAAAAAAAAAAAAAAAATTTCCACAAAACTACATACATGTACTAGCGCCGATTCATTCCATTGGCTCCATACAGTCGTTTCACGTTGTCGCATACATTATACATACACTAATAAAGAAAAAATTATTTAATTGTACTGTATTTACATTATCGAGATATAAAAATACTAACAAGAAACATACCTATAGACAAGATCCTCCAAACGATTCACCTCTTTAGAAATAAACTAATTCATAATCAAGTTTGGCAGTAATATTGTCCCTATCTAGTTGCATTCTTATTGTTGTTTACAAGAGCATCATCTTATTTGACATCAGTAAAACGTAGCGTCTTTTATAACGTCTCTCACTTACACAGTTCCTTAACGCTATCCATTAACTTTTAGTCTCTACTATCCTAAATTCTTTGCTATCTTGGAAGATTTACATTGCTCGCTGCACAGGCCTTTGCTATGGGTCAATATAAAAACACACGTTTTTGTTATCGGTACAGCTATCATATACACTGGTCTCAGTGATAGCGATTTATTTATAAAAACATGCGACTTCACATAACATTTGTTTCACCGCTGAACCTAGACTATAAAATTGAGTCATAAAAAACACGCAATGCAAAACATACATCTCACATTCATTAACAAATTCATTAATTACTACTTATCCTTTCTTCTTTTTTTTTTTCTTTTTTTAGAAAAATAAGTTTAAATGAATAATGAAATGATGAAATGATCAATGATGATGGCATTTACAAAATTATTCGATTTCTTAATGAACCAATAACATTATAAAATTATATTGAAATTTAAACTAAGAAATATAGGTTCAGCGAAGAATTTTCATGCCACACACTTGCTACAGTAGAATACAGTAGCATTTGTGGTAGCAGAAAATATTTCAGTGTAAGCCATTTGACTCCCTAATCTTAAGAAGGATAATAAAAAATAATAATTACAATAATGATAATATTAATAATAATAATAATAATAATAATAATAATAATATTAATAATAATAGTAATAATAATAATAGTAAT